GGCTCATTGAGCATAACGCTCTGCAAATGCACTGCATTTCGAACGCATCTGATTGCGCAAAAGCACAGGTAAGTTTACCAACCAGCTCATGTGCAGACCAAGACTGGTGGTGCACTTTGTGGAAGTGCATGTCGTTGTAACGCGCACCTGACCATACTTTTTGCAGGTGGGTCTCGTCCGGTGAAGAGGCGGAACAAATCTCAAGCAGAGACACAGCGGATTCTTCTTCTTTTTGGGCGTCTCGGGCGAGGGGGGTGGAGGCTTGCGCCGCGATAGACCGGCGGGGCCGGGCAAGAAATGTGTTCGACGCAGCCTGCGAAAAGGAAATGGCATTCATCTGCGAATTTGAGGAGATGAAGGAGCCAGAGCAATGTTCTGTGAGCCTGAATCGACTGTCTAATGCCTCATCTAAAAACCATGTGTCCCAAAGCGGTCCTGTCAACAAGAAATGCGATGTAAAGCTAACCTTCCCCATTCTGTTCCATCGCGAAGCCCATGAATTTAACGTATTTTTTGATTCGCCAAACTATAGGCCTGGCTGCAAGCAGCAATGTGCTTCTTGAGGATACTTATCCCATGGAAAAATGGCATTTCACTAGGAAGAAAGGGCCAAAAAACACCTGTTCAAACGTGCACAAATTTCACGGGTTGGGTTATTTTCGTGCTTTACGCGTGCAAAACACTGATGAAATGCATGCACACGTGCTCACAGAAAGTTTTATCTGATCTTTTTTCTGCTACTGTTTGGATGCCCCCCCGCCTGGTGATGCTGGACGGTGCCTTGGGTGGCAGTATGAAGGCGACGCAGTGGTGGTATCTAAAGCCCCACGAGCGAAACGATTGAGGTGAAATTATCCGATTGGACCCAGAACACTTCCAAATTCACCACATTGGCGTCATATCGACGATAGCAAGTGCAGGCGTCATTGTTCTCAATGCAAGTGTGAACCAAATTATCGGGACGACACCCCAGATCAACATGTATGTGAGTGCATGTGCGCGCGTATATATTGAAATTTACGATGGAAGGGAAGCCATTTTATGCTGTTGGGATATGTTCCCCATTAGATGTTCATCAGTCACTGTTTCTTTCTCAATTGCCGCAGGGAAATGACACTCAGAGGGTGACCGATACGTTCGTCTCAGTCGTGCCTTCAATAGATAACTGCGGCGACTACGAAATTGCGAAAATTGCAAGCACTAAGGTCGTAGATGAGACCTTTGACATCGATTCAAAGAGGGCAGTGTGCCCCCTTGGGAGCACCAAGATGCCCACCAAAGAAGTCCAATGCTGTTCGTGCGGGTTGGAAACGTCCAAGGGATGCGACCAAGCGTAAGTGAGCATTTACCACCCATATAAGCTACGTAATATTACGTAACCTTCTCTTGCACTTGTGTAAATGCGCTTATACGCAAGTGCTGTGCAGTTTGCATCGTGTGCGGTATCAAGCCCTTCGAAACAGCGACACCGGATTTTTGCCGAGCGATGGAGAGATGGAAGCGAAGCTCGGCTGGGGAGCTGCCCATCCAATTTACTTCCAAATACCAGAAAGCAGCAGCGCAAATACTCTCGACTCCCCCCCCCCTCCCCCCCACATAATTTGGGCATTTGCGCCCACAGCTTATCTATAGAATTTCTCAATACCTATCATTTACGGGAATGAAGGTCGTGGGGAGGCTGCGAAATCCATGAAGGGAAAAAGGTCAGTAAAAGCCCGAAACCTGATAAAACTAAGAACCCCTAACTCGAAAACGAATGCATGATCGGGCATGAAGGGTATCGAACATTTGCAACTTCCGAGCTCATTGCTTGTGCAGTCGCAGATTTGGAGGCGCGACGCCTAGCACTGATAAAAAATGGGCCAAATTACACGGTCCTGGAAACCTTGTGCAGTGTTGTGCGAGTAAAAATGCTGTAAATATCGCGTAAACGTCGTGTGCCAATTGTGTTTTGATCAAAACACACCACAGAGTACGCGACTTCCGTTGGGACGCCATTGAAGTTGTGTAAAACCATGTTGTTTATCGTGTTGTCCATGGTAGCAAGGTGGGCCACTTTCGTGCATTACACAGGGGGAAAACTACACTATCCTAGCAACGGCCTAAAATCTTGCTCCGAAACACGTCTGTCTGCATGGCATTATTGTCCCAATCCACCGTGCTGCTCTCCTTTGAACTGCTCCGCCAGCCCCTGTGTCTGGCCGCTTCCATCCAATGTAACACCCAAGTGTAGCCTTGCATGCATGCCCAGGGCCAATGCACTTGCGGCCTGTCTATTCATGAAACCCAATATTATTGAAGATTCGCCAACCTCTAGGCCGCACCCACAGCGTCCATGGCGGGCCTGCTATCTACATCGTCGGTGTTCTTTTATGACACCGAAATCATAATGGATAAAATGAAAGTGGATGCCTTCGCCCCGCCAATCAACACCGTCTGGCATGCACGGCCGCGCTGGTCTTGCAGGCGCAATGCCCGGCGGAAAAAGTCTTGGACAACGCTTGGCTGGCAGAATGCCGAGGAACACATCCCATTGACAGCGACGGCGTGTTTCAAAATGCCAAAGTAGTAAGCATAGGACGGTGCGTATATCGCGAATTCTGTTAAAATCTGTCGAGGCTGTGTGAAATCTCATCTACGGTAGACGCTTGTGTACTAGACGCTTGCGTAAGCTGGAATATGTGCCTCTGCAGTGTGGCTGCCTGGTTTGCTTGAAGTGTAGGATAGGCTTGTTATATTAAAATGTCGGTGAACCCATGTCCGTCGATGGTGGTGCAACGAAGAACAAACGGTCAAAACAGAGAAAAATCAACCGAAAAGATAGAAATCTTGTTCGCCATAGAACTGCTAGTAGCCTTACTTCTACAGCGTATTGTTGGCAGTTCTCATTTAATTCTTCCTTTTTCCATATGCTGCAAGTGTATCGTGTCAGTCAATACACTGAAATTCTGCATGCGAATTAAGCCCAAGTGTTGCTGACCCTTGTAGGTGCCTATGTCGATGAGCCAGAGGTCCGGGCTTTGCGCCAACGTCTAGGTTACTGCAGTTAGTTCCATGTTCTATTTTGCGTTTGCGTGTCGCACTCGATGCTCAAATGTGGCTCTGTTTGCCCAGGGTTGATGGCGTCCCTTGCACCGATAGGTAGAAATGCGATATTTGGATGCACCAGCTCGAAAACATCTTGAATTCGAGAAGGCGCAAAAGCGTGCTGAAGCTGATGCCAGTGTGCGGCCACAGCAAGATGAATCACAACAAGAAGGTCTATTAGAAGAGTACAAAAACAGCAGTTCTTTTGATGCTCAAGTTTAATATATACCGCAGCGGAACATAACCAAGACAATGTATCGGTAGTCTTCTTGTGGAGTGCTTACATTTCAATGCTCGTGAAAGTTTTCAACGTCGCAATCCGCAGTATGCAGGATGGTAAATTTCTGCGTCTTGCACTTTCCATGGACGAAGGGAGTTTATAGTTTGCTGCAGTTTACTTTTCCGCAGTCTGTGTTTGATGGAAATTTTGAGCTAGATTGGAGATAATTCTGCCTGGATTACAGCTCTAGAAGAGTACTTAACCCACCATGGAGAGATCTGCGATGGCATTTGTCGATGCATTCCTCGAATTAATTTGAATTACTTTTTTGGCAAAATGCGATTGCCAACCCCGGGGGATGCCATTTGCAAAAGCCGCCTTGATATATCCTGATGATGCACACTTGCCATGCACTGGGATGAGCCACGAGCAATTGCGGGTCAACCGATGTACGCCGTGGCCAATTGGGAGGCAGTCTTCGCTGAATGGCACGAGCACACGTGTAACAACAGCATACTGAACCGTCTACGGCGTGGACTCATTGACATAAGGGCCTCTTCCTCTATCCGGATTTAAATGGTCGTTTTGATTCAGCACATCGCGTTTGCATCATGCGCCTGTCGTTTTCCCATACCAGAGCAACATAAGTTTATTCAACGCTATCGAAAAATGGTCAAGAATGAGTAAGCACGGTGCACATACGCACATACGTGTCAATGCTCTGAGACGACATGAACCCGGACTGTAAATTGGTCAAGCGTAGTCTCTAGCAGAAAATGTTAATTGGGAGATGCCGGCTGTGATGCCGTTTTGACACTGAGTGCACCGTTGCAGATGCACTGCAATAGTATAAGCAATAACCAGCTTGTGAGGGACTGGCCCGCTGGCTTCGCAACAATTAGCATCCTGTATATGGGACGGCCGCACTCATTGGCCCATTCCCTTGAACTATGTGGAGCAAGGAGGGTGCCAGTTTTCTCGTGTCGAAGGATAGCCACCCCTGGCGATGAAAGGTCGGCAGACATCGCACCTATGTCCACATATCTCCATAGTGAATTGCTAGAACACCCGCCATCCTCTGCAGCAACGCGCGGACGTGTTTGGCATCCATTTTCGCCAATAGATCACCCGCTGCTCTGAGACCAACTGCGGAACGGCTGCGTGCGTCGAAATCCCATTGTTCGCCTTGGACATCCAATTGCTCTCCTGCCTGGCAAGAAAACACCTCTACACAGACCACCGTGATTCTCATACAGCACAGCCAGGTAGGACGTGGATGTGCATTATAAGAAGAAAGAGGCTCAACTTCCACTGATGTCGACCGGAGGCGTTGGTCACGTAACGGCTGCCCATGAGGCCCAATGGGAGGGAAGCAAACAAAAAATTCATACGACGAACTCAGAAACGGTTTCTGAATTCAAATCTTTCCAAGTGGATTCTTGATGCGGAATACCTGGGGAGTTTGGCTGGTCCCAAGCAATGTCGTCCTTGAGTCGTCGCCTCCAGTGAGTGATGATCTTTGGCCCCATCGCGCCATTGAATATGCCGATGCGGGTATGCCTGAAAAGCGATCTGGCTATGGAAAACTGCACCGATATAGGGGCTGTGAACTTGAGCATGAAATGCGTTCCCGTTCTCCTGAGGGAGCGGACCGCCTTTCGGAAGGGCGTCATTGAGAATTCTCAATGCACAAATGGTCCCCCGATGCTGTCGGGGGCACCTCGACGCCAAGCAGCAGCCACACGCCGCGGGCACGACAGCTGCCGCTTCCCTGGCCCTTTGTACATCGGCTGGGGCACAGCGCAAGACACGTGAACAACCCGGAAACAACTCCGAACGATCTTCCTGTGCGTGTCCTCTCCTCCCGTCCTCTCCTCTCGTCCCGGCCTCTAGTCCGCCTCCGCACTGGCCCCCAGCCGCTTCCTGCGCCAACGCCGCCGAACCCCAAGCGCCTGGACCTCCGGACGCCCGCCGGCGATCTGGCAATCGCGGGCCTGGCCCGCGCCGTGCCGCCGCATCGCCGATGGCCTGCGCATCTTCGCGCAACAGGGGCTGTCATGGTACTGAGAAGATACGGTGGAAGCTTGCGGCATGGGGCGTTCTGATGGTGGCGCTGTCGGCGGCCGGCGACAGCGACAACCTGGGCAGGAGGATCCGGGCCAACGAGGACATTGTCCGGACGCTCCAGGAGGCGGCCACGGAGCTGTACGCGACGCGCGGCCAGGTCGTGCCGGGGTGCTCTTGCTCCGTGCACGCCTGCTCGAATGAATTCCCGCCCGGACGGGAGTGCTCCGACAAGCTGGGCCACTCCGAGGAGATATGCGGAGGATGCGAGGAGAAAGGGAGGATGGTGAGGCGCTCCGGGCCGCGGGCGTTTGGCACGGTCCGCCGATCCCGGGGGCGGCTCCCAGTGTGGCCGCCGGCGGGCACCTGATCTGTCCCGGGGACGACTGCCCGGATCCCCGGTGGTTTGTTTCCTGGCGACTTGGGCGAAATGCTAGCAGTGGGTTCGGCTTTGCCCACTGATGTGAGCTCCTGGCGAAACGAGGACGGGACTGCCGGCCCGCCTTTCTGCGGCACCCTGGCCGCCAGGGCGGCGGGGTGGGCCAGGCCGGGTGGCAACGCGCGGGGTGCTGCGGGGCGGCCTCTGGGAATGGGGTGATGCTGGTTGTCGGTTGTAGACTGTTGGTCAGGCCCGTCCAACGCAATTTCGTGGATCAACCTGAAGTATTACGTAACAAGGCGAGGCTGGCCATTCGCACGAGCGGCGAGAAAGCGTCGAGGCGATAAACGCTGTTCAATCTCGATTTGAGTGGTCGGCTCGGTCGGCTGGACGCCGTGGAGTCCAACCGGCAGATGCACTAGCTGTCGCCCGAGGGCTGGGCGCACACGGCAGTGGGCTGGCCTGCATAACCCCCGGGGACGTCGCAGGCCAGCCCTCGGGCGCACATTGCCGTGTGCGCCCAGCCCTCGGGCGACGTCTAGTACATGTTTGCTGGGAGCACCGTATTGACCTTGCACCGTATTGACTTTGCATCGTACTGACCTTGTTGGCAGCTTGACCTCCTGAAGTCGATGGTCAGGACGCCGCCTGGGGAAGACCCTGAGAAACTGAGCCCAGAGGTGATAGAGTCGATATGCACGTTTCAGCCTTTGGACAAGGATTTTGTGGCGAAGGGCCCGGATGGGAACTATACGTGGACGTACATTGGCACTACGACTGGTGTGCACAGGTAAGCCATGCACGGCACTGCTCCATGGATATCGCGAATGGGTTGAAAGTTTTTTGACACCGCCTGGCTTACCTCGGCGACAACAAGCCCTTCAAAATTAAGAAGTACACTGATCTGATGTGCTTTTGACCAAACTGCATATGCCCTCATGTCCAGGTCTAGCTGCTAGGGTCCGCTTCTTTCCATTTTGTTTCGATACCATTGGCATCGGTTTGCTGATCGCCAGGCTCTAGAAAGGCGATAAAGGACAACTCCTTTCATGATGCAAAGCTCGCTGTAGAGTATTCAAAATCCTGCAGTTTGAATTCTGGGGGTAGAGATATCGGCTGCATAATTTTGGGAAAACTGTTGCCTGTTTTGTGTTCACTCCGCAACTTATCAGGCAAGTGAAAGTTGGCTGATTACCCTGTAAGTTTTGTGAGCAGCAGAGCAGTGCACCGGCAAATGTAGGTTTCGCGCAAATTTTTGAGAACATTTTTATGCATAGGGTGTATAGCTTTTACGGTTCCTATTACCGTTCATGACCTTCATTTTTGAAATGATGGGAATCTGTTATAGTAGCTGGAGTCATTTTAGCCGTGTCAGGCATAATTTCCGTATATACGCCATTGGATGCAGTGCGGTCACATATGGAAGAGCGGGTACTTGCGAACTTTTGCAGCACTTGGGAGGCTGTGGCGCAGCAGCTTTTGGCATCTCTGCAAAATTTTATGTCTTTGTGCCCTTACCTCCGCATTATAAGGTGCTGCTGATGTGTCATTGTGCAGAATGGATAAATATCTTGTTGCGGGCGTATAGCATGGTCACAGGTTGTCTGGCATGGAACCTGTCTGATAATGCGATTCTTGCGCAGAGTCTGGCCAGGACTGGCAATTGTGAGGGGCCTCCCAGATGATGACCCCGAGCAACCGCTTGGGAGCTGCAGAAAATTTGACCCTGTAAGGGACGGATACCCATCAGGCAATTGCTTGGATGCTGAACTTGGGCTCTGTTGATTATTGGGCAAAAAGCCCCAGTGATGATACTGTTTACTTTGCGAAAAACATGCCCTTGTCCTGGCACATATCATGGATGTGCAATGAACTTATCCTAGGCAGGCTCAAACATTCCGATATATGACAGCAAGGCAGCACTCCTGCCGCAGGAATTCGAACTGGTTTCTGGTAGAACGAATTTGGGTTCCCTCGAACTGTGGCATTTTTTTGGCATAATTTTTGTCCGGCTCCAGCTGTGTGGGAAATGTCGGTTTGCATGGAATATGCAGGATCTTGGATTTCCAGCGAGCTTCAAATCTTATCTCCCCATAACATTTTTTTTCGCCATGCGTGTGGCGCTTTCCCCAGCACTTATTGTTGTCATTCCATTTAATTTCCTTCTGACATAACGTCTGCGATGGATCAGAGGGAGCGCCCGTGGTTCAACGCCGCCAGCAGCGGCCCCAAGGACGTCGTGATCGTTCTGGACACTTCAAGTAAGAATACATGCGCTGGCTGGAACGCTGTTTACAAATGGATTCCCTTACCATTCTTCTTCCTGCACTCAAAAGGCGGAAACTTCCACTGGTGCGCTCTGTGATGTGTATCATTAGCAAGGAGTATTGCCAGATTCAATTTATTACCCCTGGCAGAAAGTGGATTTGGTGATTCAACCACAGTGTCTTTCGCTTTCTTACCATTTCAATGCTGGCAAGGAGACCCTCGCTAAATGCAGGATGAAATATTCTATTTTCTCAAATAAGAGACTGCTGTGGTCCTAGTATGATCTCAGCGTTGGACCGAGTCTAAGCTTTGTGCCCCCCGTCTCATGCATCTACAATTCGCGTTACTTGACGTCAGCAAGAAGTTCCGCCCCAATCCGCCGCACATGCACCCTGATAACATACCAGTTTGTATTACTGCTCTGTTTGCGTAACCAGTAGCGCGCCAGGCCACCTCCTCTGCTCGCAGAAGTTAGCAGAATCTCACATCCCCGTTGTGCTTGACGGGTGCACAGCGCCCTTGATAGCACACACTTTTTCAAAATACAGCTTCCAACCCGATTCGAATTACGAAAGAAGCACAGGCCACTGCTGCTACCAGTCGTGCATCGTCGTAGTATCCTTTCTTTTGCATGGGATAGGCCCCAAATCCACATCAGGTCGTGTCTCTACCTACCACCATTTTGGCCTAGTGCGCCCTCTCCATTGTTCTGTCTGACATCCGTCAGTTACGATGGTCGACAGGCCAGATATTGCCAGGCGCTGGTCATCGTGGGCCACAGTTGATAGCTGTGGACCATCCGTCCGCGATCACCGCTTGATGTGCTTATCAATGCACTGCCCCTCGGAATCGCCAACGAACAGTGTGTTGTTTGCCGACATGGTTCATGGGCTTGCAGTCAGCAACAGCAAGCCAACCAGATTGTCATGGTGTGTATGTTGTCATCAAGTTGCATGTGGGGTGGGGGTGAGTTGGTATGGAAATGGCTCTTTTTTTGCACGCCGCAGTGGCCGTTTCGGTCTGTCCTGCCTCGTCTGATGTAGTTGGTATGGAAATGGCTCTTTTTTTTGCACGCCGCAGTGGCCGTTTCGGTCTTTCCTGCCTCGTCTGATGTCGGTGCAATTATGCCAACCTAGAGCCCAAGCCCCCATTCAGCGATGATGGTATTTAACCAACACAATGTCTTCCTTTAGTAGTGGAAGAATTTGATGCATATGTTTGATTTAGTTTTTTAGATTTTATTTATAGGTTTGATCAGAGCAACATATTGGGAATCATTGAGAAACAACAATATTCATAGTGACCAGCCTAGATTTGTTGATGTTTGGAAATTGTCTATCGGGGGGCGTAGCCCGTCGATGCCTTTTAGCCAGAATGAGATGCAATGCAATTTTGTCATCGATAGAATACTTTGAGATGAACTTCCCTTTCTGTAAAGATCTGTTACGTGACCGTGGTGTTTACAATGATGTTCGTGATGATAACTCAGTCGCTTCAAATTCGCGCCAGAGACGCGTCAATGCGCAAATGTCAATTTCCGATGTTTAGCGCAATCACGACATGGCCATGCACTTCCAGACTCATCGCAAGCCGCCAGTGTAAATCTACTTAGATGCCCTGAGGAGGATTGGCAATCAAGCTGACTAATTGGATGAACATTTGGTGGTGAAATGCAGCGAGCATGGGCGAGACTCTTGGGTCAAGAGGAAAGACAAGGTGGGAGGTTACAAAGGACGCCACCTCGCGGCTGCTGGGCACTTTCGGCATTTCGGACTTCGTGAGCATCGTGACCTTCAATTCCGAGGCGGAGGTTCTCGGAGGAAGAACGACTTTGGTCCGGGCGGACAATGCCAACGTTGAAATGCTTCGCAGGGAGATTGGGAATGTTGAGCTGACGGGAAAAACCAATTTCAAGAAAGGTTTCCAAACTGCTTTTAATGTCCTCATCGAATCCAGCAAGCTTGGATCTGAAGTGGACGACCCTCCAACCTCGTCGTGCACAAGGGTATGCTCATTTGTTTTGTTGAGTGTTCTGTCCCTGTCGGAGAAAAGGTTTCTTGTTTTTCATTGTTCGTAGTCGTCTGAGATCATTATGTCAATAAGCATATTGCAGTCCTGTGCATTCGATTTGCGCCCTCTCAGTGCGTCCAGCGGCGCAGTAGAATTGTGGGCCAAATGTTTTCTGTAGATTCATTTTCTTGCAGCAACTGTGGGAATAGCATAACACTAACGTTGTTTGGTGGGCTCTCCGTCGCTATTGGTTGAAAGGATGTCTCAACATTTTGTGAATGACTAAGCTGTTTCAGAAATGAAAAGTATCCTATGTGCAAACGGTGCACTAGTATTGTGCATTCTTTGGACGCCCATTGTCAGCACAGTTGTGCAAATATATCTGCGCTGCAGCATTTCCTGCATGGGAGGCTATGTGTAGTGAGACTTCATGTCCAGAGCATGTACCCCATGCCCAGGACATGAAGTCTTACTGCTCTATTCAGCAGTGCAGTTATTGCTGTAAGTGCATTGGGCTTCTCATATCCAGAATCTGCATTGTTCCTGACGATTACAGCCGATGATGAGAAAACTATTCCACTGTTCACTATTTCACTGCAGCTGCAATCAGCGACCTGACTGTGTAGCGTCCCCTAGGCATCCTTTTTCCTCTTCACAACAATCTTTGTCTGATGAATATTTTAATGTGATTTATTGCAATTTAATGCACAGTAATGTAATTTAATCCAGTAATGCAGTAATGTAATTGTAATTGCAATTGTAATTGTAATTTTAGTAAATGCAGTAATGTAACGTAATTTCGTCATGTAGAGGATACAGATTCCAGAGGCGTCGCTGTCCTTGGCAAACAGAGCATCGTAGTAGTAGGTTGAAATAGAAATTGCTCAAGACCTCTTGAGTTGTTGGCCAGGCTCATGCGCTGATAAACATGCACTTTCGAGTATAAATGCTGGGTCGCTACATGGCCTCAATCCCGAGCACATGTGGACAGTCTTGCTGATCTAACACCAATCAGCGGCATGAAGAACAGTGCCCAAGAGTCATTGCGTTTATTGCAGGAAGTTGATATCATTCAGGGCGTTTGCACACGAATAGGTGATTCTGTTCCTCACGGACGGGGAGGACTGCTCGCTCCTTGAAGAGCAATCTTGCAACGATTCTGAAGACGCGAAAGAAGAGTCTGACGCAAACACAGTTGCTGACTTCATACGAGAGAAACAATCCGAGATGGTGGAACTGGGCGGCGAAAGTGCTCACATCTTCACGTTCTCCATGACGTCCGACTCAGATGATAAGCTGGCGAAGATGATTGCCTGCGAGAACAACGGCTCTTGGGCGTCCATCGAAGGCAAGTGAAACATTTTGAGGGCGGCCCACACAATGCATATAGTGCAGTTCATTCGAATGCAGACCGAGTGGGTACATTCCAGTTGCTGGAAAACACTGCCAGCACGCTGGCGATACATTCCAACCACATTTGTAAAGCGTTGAATTGATGAAAGTTACGTATTATTAGGGAGAAGCACCGCCGAACCACACAACATTGTCCACGATTTTGGTGCCGGCTTTCATCGGTGATTCGCCCTCACAAGTGATTTGACATGCTGACTCCTCGAGCACTTTACATGGCCGAAGTTGACTGGGATCTGGCTGGCCAGAGAAAGACGACCCACTGGTCAAGTTCCTGGATTACACTAGATTCCTGGCCTGGACGCGCCGAGGACTTGACGTCATCTGGAGCAACTTCTACGTGGACGGCGCCGGCCTGGGAAACATGACGACAGCAGTGATGCCGGTGTACGCCCCTGAGACATCAGACGGTATCCCGGGCCTCCTCATAGGCGTGGTTGGAAAAGACGTGCTGGTGTCAGAGCTGGAGGCAGACGACGCTGACTTCGAGGACGTTTTCAAAAGGCTGATAGAGCTGTCGTCGTTTTGCAGGCCGCCGGAGGAGAGTGTTTGCCAACTTCAGGTAACGAGCTCGGAGTCTGCTCATGCGCACGGACAACTTCATCTCGGGAGACTTCGCCAGGGAATTGCTTTATAACGCATCTGCACTGGTGCAGTATGCACCAGAGCATTTTTCAGATTGAAAATGTGCCGGCTTTTGGAAACGACAGAGCTGAAATTATCTTGCAGAAACCCATTTCAATCATGTAAAGACGTTTGTTGAATCTCATGTACAGGGTGGCGTGAAAGATAATTATATCTGACATTCGAGCATTGCATTCACTGCTTCGCGCTGCGATTTTTGCAAGAATTGATTAGTGTCGCGGTCAAGATGAAGACTAATGCTGCAGAAAAAACAATGTAGAATCGGTTGCATTGATGATGGCATGTACTTTCCAGGAGCCATCGGTCGGATAGTGCAGTCTCCATTGATTTGTTGTTGTCTTCAGAGTGCCCGCGGGCTCTTTGAGCGTCCAGCAGTGTCTTCTCAGCAGCAGCATAGGCCTCAGATTTCGCTGTCGATGAAGATATGTTCCAGGAATAGGAATATTAGTAACATATCCAAGAATATATAATAATTACGAGGGTGTTGGTACTCGCAAGTATCTGCAGAACATGGTTCACTTCGACATTTGTCATTGTCAATGGAATGATCGCAGTGCTTCTCGCTGTTTCCCGTCACCCTCAAACTTGCCGCGAGAGATTTTTCAGGCCATGTACACAAATTTAATCCTAAAATTCAGAATGCGTACGGTGTGAGCCAACGGCACTGCATCGTGTGGAGTGACCCGACTGCGTGATTCATGCAAGGTACTGCGCGGAAAGGAATCCCAGTGCCCAGACATCATTGAGCAGAGGCCATGCTTCTACATGGACAGCGAGAAGAAGTACTACACGACGGTGCCGGAAAACAAGCTGCCATTTGAGGAGGCGGCCGAGGCATGCATCAAGCTTGGAGGTCATCTGGCGGAGCCTAAGTCCGACGTGGCCCACGCTTTTTTGTCGAGCCTGGCAACGCGAGAGGGGTGCTGGATAGGCCTTCGTCTCGGCAACTCTCCACCTTTCCGTTGGAGGTACTACAATTACTTTTGGTCTCTGCAGACAGGAGCCACATTGGTTGGATCGGAGCCCAGGAAAGAGTTCCAATGTTCGCAAATTGATTCGCCTCGTAACTTCTAAAATGCCCCACGGCAGACGGCAGTGAAATAGAACTGTACTGCGGCACTGTGAAATGATGCTTCGATTTTTCTTTCACAACTATAGGGCTATTCATTATCTAAATTAGAAAGATGATTCATGCCTTGTATGTGCATATCCAGGATGTGGCCATGTACAAAGGATACTGGGTGTAGCCGTAACCTGGGTATGCATATCCGTGATATGACGTTCATCTCATGTTCGATACCCAGGACATGGGGTGCCCGTAGATCATTTTCCATTCCCGGGATACGAGGTTCTCGAAATACATAGTTAAGAGGTCATCCGAATGGCTCTACATTGTTTCCTTGGCGGAGCTTACAGGCATCTCCAAGTCGCAGCTATTATCCTACAGATCGTTGTGCTTTTATTATGGATTAATAAATCGCCGATGAGCTCCTGCCGCAAAAATAACACAGAAAATAGCGTTCGACGTGCGCAGTCATGTATACGAAATTTCTTGATTTGACATTGTGATTGCGCTGCATGCAGTTGCTTATATTTCGGTGTGATCAATTTCTAACTGGTAGAGTGTCTTTTGCTTGGCGCTTATTACCATCCGATTGAAAAGAAGAGCTGCACAATTGGCTTTGTCTCTCAGTTCGTTGCCTAACTTGCAGGGAAGAGATTCCTGCCAGTAAAGTAACCTATGGGGAAGCTGTACTCTTATTTCGGTGCAATGGACTACTGCACAGCGAAACTTTTGGCTCAGAGTTAGGATGTAACCCAGTTTGCTTGTCATTTTGGCAATTTCATAATTTAGCGCCGCTCTTTACTCGACATTCTTTCAATGAGCGTCGTCATTTCCATTGGCTGGCCATCGCTTCTTGAGGCCTGTGGCAGCCGAAAGTTATGGTAGTCGCGCCGGGGCGAGCGGAAAGTCATCCCCTTTGGTCTCACCAGAGGGTGTATCCATGCCCCGACGCTGCGAGGAATTTTCACCCAATGGCGCTGTCCGCCGCATTTTGAAAGGCGGTGGAATCGAAATCATCCAACGGTCCATGTCCAATCCATAAGGGATTGGCCTCGGGAAGGGCATATGCGGAGCGTCTCAATTGGCCGCGCTGTAGTGACATTGGTCAGCGAAGCCTTCGGTTTTCTGCGTCCGCCATTGCGCAAACATGGCCTAAATGGGTTGCAGGCGCTGACGCACAGATTGCTGTCAGGACGCTGTGCCAAGGAGATTTATGCAGTGCTTCTCGGAGTCGAATCTTTCTTGACCGGCATCTTGCCAATGGAAGGTTCATTTGTTGTTCTCCTTGCCCGCCAAGAAAACGGCAAACCTGGGGGTACTATGCCGAGGCATTATATACACTACGGTATACTTCTGCGCACATTTGCTGAACAGAATCCTTCGTGAATGTGCTGTGTTCCTCGCACGCATGATTGCAAAATCCGCATTAATACCTTCTCCTTCCTATACAAAGTGTCCTCTATAAATTCGGGGTCTTGCTTCTTCACCATAGGGACTCCGATATTAATGAACTTGGTTTAAAACCGGGCCCATGAATTTGAAGTGCACAGTTGAAAAATACAGTCAAAGATTTCAGTATCGCGCTTCTGAAGGCGCAAGGAAGGCTTAAATTCAAGCGTCACGACGAGCTGCTGCTGTGACGACGGCCTTCTAGGCTGAGGACTCTCATACTGTCGGGCGCGTTCTGGAAGCGCAGTGCCGCGTGCTGAACGCCGCCCTCCGTCGCTACTGTAACAGCGACTTTGCCTGCCACTAGTAGGCGCATGAGCGGCTGAAGACGGGTGGGGTGCGTAGCGGTGCGGAATTCGCACTCACAATGTTTGGACCAGATGAGGGCATTTCGAGGACCCTCACAGGGCATAGGGATGACCGCTTTCTTGAAGACGGCAATTTGGGGTTTGGGAACCCGATTTTTCTGATTCTGGCGTCTTTCTATTACTGAAAGACCATTTCCGTAACGAAACTTATCTTTCTGAATAGAGGGGGGATAACATGGGACGGAGAAATACGCTAATTAATTTGAGGAACAAAACAGGCGATGCACATTACTTAGTGCCCCGAGCTCCGCCGACGTCGGCCGACTTCGGTGTGAAAGCTGAATGCGACACCAGAGGCCGTAGCCCCCTGATGCCATCGATGGGGCGTTGCCCGCCCACCCCCACACACCTCTACGGTAGGGCCCATACCTCTTTCCCCTCTGCAGCAAAGCCCGCCGACGCCAAAAACACCCTTCCCACACACACGCCTGCAAAAGCTAATTTTTCGGCACGTCGTGTGAGTACAGCAGCCGTGCGTGTGCCCTGCAGATGGGAGGTTTCTGAGGAAGAGGCGGAACAGATCCCAAGAACCGATCCAGAGGGTTCTTCGTTTTGGGCATCGCGGGCAAAGGGGGCAAACGAATGCGCGGCAATAGATCGACGGGGCAGGAGAAAGAATGTGTTCGACGTCTCCTGCAAGAAGGAAATGGCCTTCGTCTGCGAATTCGAAGCGACGAAGGCGCCAGAGCAATGTTCTGTGAGTGGCAGATGAAATTTGCCGAGTGCCATGGATATTGTCGTTGCACTAGGAAAAAAAGGACCGAATAACACTTTTTCGAACGCACATAAAACACATTTCATCAAATTTCTGCACGCTAAGAACACAAAAATAACACAAACCCGTAAACTTTGTACACGTCTGAACACGTGTTATTGGGCTGTTTTTTTCCCCACTGTTGCGGCAGCAATGCAACTTTTGAAAAAGATTCCCGCTTCCTTACAATGTCGCGTTCCCTGTGTCACCTGCACACTAATATTGTGTTGTCCGCTGGATGCCAAAGTGGTGTTGATGACGGGCTGGTGCTGAAAGCCCCGTAATGCATGTGAGTGTCTTCTATAGCACACTATCCTCCTTAATCAGGCCGGTTGTCCCTCTCAGAACTGGTGCCGAACTGCAGACATTGTCAAGCCCAGAAGTCGTTGTGATGAATGTGGGATGAGTGGCGTTGCCAGTGTGCTGCGATTGCTCTGGAGTACATGAAAGAATGGCCGGGGCGACCTGTGAATATTTGTGTGTATATGCACATGCACATGTAATATTGCTGCATTCTTGTGGTTTCTTCATACATCCAAGTTTCCCTATGACGTCTGATCCCTTTCCTTGTGGACTCGGATTGTAATCGATCCGCATCTCTACTGCATACCAAGGCATACAACTCTTCTAACGACAGCTCAGCTTGTTCCACCTGTGTGGAAGGGCAACAAAAGCTGGCCACGCCTCGTTCAATGCACTGGCAAAAGCAACAGCTTGCCTCAACTCCTTTGGATATATTGTGAGCCATGCTGTTTGCTACATCTGAAGGCTCTGCGCATGTCTTTCAATATGGCATTCGAAATAGTTTTAGTCAGATGTTCTGACTCGCATGCCTTGGTTTCCGTTGGCACGAATTGCGTATAAGAAAAGAGTTCTGGAACAGAAGTATTTTGTCAGGCATTCACGCTTTGCAGCTCATCGCATCACCGTGGCGTGGTCATTGCTGTATCGCCCAGCATATTTGAATGTCATCATCATCAAAATCCATGGACCAATATGTGAATGTACAATATATACAATACAATACAATATGTAAATACAACACAATATGTGAATATATGCATGCATGGAAATGTAATATGAAAGAAAACTAACATGCGGAATGGAGTGTTATGTATTTTGCAGCATCAAAGGTGGAACACATTTATGATGTCAACAAATTGCTGCGTACTGTAGATAATGTTGCTATTTTTAATTGTCGCAGGGAAATGATACCGAGAGGGTCACCGAAGATTTTGTCTCTATGGTGCCTTCCATAGACCTGTGCAGCGACTACGAAAGTGCGCGACTTGCAAGCACCAGCGTCATAGATAAGACCTTGGGCATTGTTTCAGAGACGGCAGTGTGCCCCCTTGGAACCCCCGAGACATCCACTGAGGAAGTTCAATGCTGCTCTTGCAAAACAGCAGTTCCTAAGTCGTGCGGCGCAGGGTAAGTATGCCTACATATATGTGTGAGGTATTTTAAAGCACCTGTGTAGTATCTGGTACCACACGCTACGTGATACATTACCATTAACACATGCGTCAGAATACTGCGAGGCTTCTATGAATTTCACAGACAATAAAGATTTGCGTGGCTATGAGACCGGCAGCTGAGCCTCTTCACCGAATTTTGCAGCCTGGCTATCCATATTCATTGAGTTGCGTTGTGGGCTGTTCCCTTTGAATATGCTTCAATCAAACCCCGTCGATATTGATGAGAAGTAGGGACAGCGTTCAGAAAGAAATCATCCGCCGGGTGTTTGGTGACGACACATCAGCTCATACCTTCGGCGATAATATCATTGTATGGGTCGCCACAGAAATTCAAGCGAATGTTTGAGCGGGGTCTGTTGGTAGTTGTCATCGACTAGCTGCATTTTGCACGTGCTGCAAGTGTGCTGCATCCGAAGTCAGCGCACATACGGTTTGCATCGCAATTGAGACATGCCTTTGCTGTCCCATGTCGCTGCCATTGCCGATGAACAAAAACTCCAGTTGCTGAAAGCCCATATCTGGGATTTTGCTTCTGATTTGTCGCGGCATCCGTCGCACTTGATGCTTACACTTGGGCGTTTCCATGCAGGGTTGACGACCCCCCTTGTGTTGATGGATAGAAACGCGAGATTCGGCTACAAGATTTTTGTAGCATCGGAAATTCGGGATGTTGAAAAGGCATTCTGAAGCTTATGCCCGTGGACGGATGCATCAAGATGCACCGCATGAGAAGGGCTACCAGGAATATGCCAGGAAGAGTCGTTCCTTGAATTTCAAGCGTATTATATAGATCAGTGCTGTGTAGCACAAAATGCAGCAGCAATTTTCCTCTGAAGATCCCATATTGCAGCGTAACTTAGAATCAAACTTTTCAAATTCCAATGCAAGTGTGATAATGATTGTTTTCTGTGTCGTGCACTTGCCATGGACGACGAAAGTTGACCATTTACTGCAGCTCGTCTTCTGCATTTCGCATATTTGAAGTTTGGATCTCTGGTGGGGAGATTTGTGTCTGTATTTCAGCTCTGCAAAACACCTAACCAACGGTGGCGAGTTATGTGATGGGGTGCTCGATCAATTCCTTGCATTTGAATCCCAGAATGCACATTTCATTTTCGAGGAAAGACTTGCCAACATGCAGACTTTAAATTGCATGTAATGGGAGAATCCAAGACGACGCCGTCCAGGGGACGCCAGCGGAGTTCCCGTGCTTGACCAGTTCGGCATTGCGCTTGTGGCTGGGCTGATTTGAAATTGTTGTCTGCAGCCGTTTCAACTGCAAACAAAAGACATTTGCTTGATCTTGCATTCGCGAACCATCCTCAGTTCATCCCTAAGAGCCTCACTCGAAATTTCGCAGGGATCAGCGACGCAACGTTGTGGGCAGATGACAACCATGCTGTCCCCGTTCCGCATCGACAGCAGGTCCTCGTTGAGCAGCGCAGGCGCTGCATTTCCCGGCGTCACTTGTGGCGTCCAGCCTCGTACCACCGCAGGAATGGAGTCCAGATGACTCTCCTTGCAATTAGCCGTTCACGCACAGAAATGAACGCCCGCCCGATCGAGCTGGACTTGACGGCGAGTATGCACCCACAATGGGCGACTGTTAGTGCGGCATGTAACCACCGAGCGGGACACAACTCCAGCGTATGCTCAGAAAAACGCAAGTGTGGGCATGAAATAAGCGTGTTCTTCTTACAAGCAAAGCCGTTCGTCCATAAATAGTCCAGCTGCAGGGTGCGGCACCGACACGGTGCTCGCCCAACTCATACCCAAAAAGGTCACATCAAATCTTGCACAACACCGTAGTACATTGTTTCCAGGTGGCGCACCCTCGCTTTAATGTATGAACGATCCCAGCTTAAATATTATTCCGCGATACCCTGAGTTCCATACCCGTCCCAGCCCTTGGGTGCGGCACCCGGCCTCCAAAGTGCGGGCTCCAACCGCTCACATACTAGCCTGCATTACCCAGCCATGCATACCGTACCGCTGGCCTCTCCCAGCGCCTGGAATATCATACGCCGCTCAAAACGCTACCACACCCATCAGCCATATTACAAAGCAGGCTGCCGGTTCCCTGTGCTGGTACACAGCACATGGTGAGGCATCCATAGTAGTTAAACATTTTGAAGTACTGGAAAACGCACGGTTGTGTCACCCATAGTACTTCAGCCACCCAAGGTACTTGGAAATTGTCTTCTGACGCACCCACGCCCATGCTGCCGCCAGCGCGCTCCGCTACCGGTCATCGCAGCACGACCCAGCTCATCGCAGTGCGGGGCATTCATCAATCTTCATCATAGATGCTCAGAATGGCACGTCCATCAGCCACATCATCAAAGAGGCACAGCACGTCATCTTGCACGCCTTCAACTGCGGGAGGTTATCATTGGCAATCATCTGGCATGTCTCCAAAACTAGCATGGCCACGGCAAGGCTTGGTATAGATGCATCAGCGGGATCGTCATCTCATTGACGGCTCAAAATTGGCAGTGCTCATTTTCAAGGCTACGGCATCTCGTCTCCACTCATCAAGGCGTTGGGTTCGGCACATCCTCGGCAATCAACAAGGTAATGGGACGGCTGATCTTCAAGACTGCAACTTCTCGTTAAGGGCTGCATTCCCAGCATATTCAGATCGTCTCCATACCATCTATTGAGTACTCACATAGTTGTGACACATCAGAGGCATACCAGTGCTATTAACCATCAGATCATAACGAGGCTTTCGATGACAAGGTACAGTAGGGCTCCCATATAGCGCCGCCCCCCCCCCCCCCTCCCCCCCCCGTGACGTGGCCACAAGGGGGGCACTATTTGGGGCCAGGGCGCTATTGTTTTAAATTGTGTTATTGCATTTAACTGTAGTTTTAGTCAATGTATCCTTATGTAATGACCTGCTGGCGCTGTGGCAGCGCCTGGCGACGGCGCCAAGTGGCAGTGTGCCGGCGCAATAACGTGGCAGCACGGCAGAATGGCACCTCCCACACTGAATCAAGCAAATCAGCGCCACCACGCGAGTCGTGATGATGAGCATAGTAGTGTGGTAGCATGGCGGTGTGGCAACGTGGCAGGGTGGCAGCGTGGCAGGCTGGCAGCGTGGCGGTGTGGCGACGTGGCGGCGCAGCAATGTGGCAGCGCTGTTGTGATCATCGCAGGCATGCAATTGCTGCATGACTAGCGTGCCCAGTCTGCCAAATCAGTGCTGGGGTCAGTGGCATTCATAGTTGCCTTGGTTGCAACGTCCCTATGCATGCATGGTGTGGATCCAGCTTGTGTGGTAAGGATTTTCAAGGGGGAGGCTGTTGTTTGAGGCGCTGCTGCACAACCTGTCGGCCAGTGCAAGCATCAAAGCACCGAGTGTGGAGATTGGCTGTGAGCCAAAGCAACTGATCAAGAGCTGTTTTGATGACGATGAGGGCCACTACGATGATAGAAGCCCCTGTGACCCGCATTTCATGGAAGACAGAACTTCTAGCAGCGATGAGGATTCTAGCAAGGACGAGGAGATAGATTTGTATGATGATGATGAGAGAGAAAGAATGGACACCGCAGCATTGGGCACCCCTCACTATCCCTCCATTCCGCTGGCCGCAAGGAACCCAGGCGGGCAGTGCCCGCTTCGCTTTCCATAGATGGAGATCCGCCACAGAAAGCACACCTCCCTTGGCCTCCTGGGGAGGCCTTGGGCCCAGGCCCCGTAGGGGGCACACCAGACGTGCCGTCCGCCCATCCGCGATACGCAAGTTCGTGGAAACGGACGGCCACCACGCTATCTGTCCAATGGACACCTCTCTTGGGTGTGTTTGGTTGTCCGCAATAGTAGCTTGTGGTCCCACTATGCAGCGAAGCTGCATAAAGAACTACAGAAATGGTGACAAGCCAGAAAAGGGGGCGCTATTGGGGGCAGGGGGCGCTATATAGAGACCCCTACTGTACCGGTTCCGGAGGGGTACTCAGAAGATCGCCACATTACGCTCAGGATCCTCTGGCAGAAACTTACCACTCTCACTTCCGTTCATTCGCACCAAACAGTGGTCAGGGGTCTCGAACGGCATCTCGATGATGTCGGAGGCCCCTTGACGTCAACAACCCACACGGTTGGGCACGACCGCCGCCGTACCGCGTCTCTTGCACCGGCGATTGTACATCATCGGGGGCACAGCGCACCACGCGAAGGGCCAGCCTGTTGTACAACCCCAAACGACTCCGAACGATCATCCCATGTGTGCCCTCCCCTCTCGAGGGTAGACTCGGTCTGGCCCCGTCCTGGGCTGCAGCACGTCTCTGCGCTGCCCTCCAACCGCCACGCTTCCTGCTCCAACGCGGCCGCACCTCAAGCGCCTGGATCGACGGAAGCCCACCGGCGATCTGTCAATCGTGGCCCTGCCCCCCTGCCCTGCCGCCGCATCACTGATGGCCTTGGCATCTCTGCGCACTCGGGGCAGGCTTGGGGCCCACAAGATGTTGTGGAAGCTGGCGGCGTGGGCCATTATTTCGCTGGGGGCGGCCGGCCAGCAGATCCCCCTTGACGAGAGGATCAAGGCCAACGAGGACATTGTCCGGACGGTTCACGGGAGGGCCACGGACCTGTACAGGGACCGCGGCGAGGTCGTTCCAGGCTGCGAGTGCTCCGTGCACGCCTGCGCCAACACGTTCCCGTTCCCCCGGGAGTGCTCCGACCTGCTAGGCCACTCCGAGGAGATTTGCGGGCACTGCGAAACTAAAGGGAAGATGGTGAGGCGCGTTGGGCCGCAAGCCGTTGGCGCGGGTGGGCGATACCCCGGGGCGGGGCCCCGGTGGAGCACCGATTAGCGGCTGGTTTTCAGGAACGCCTGTTTTCGGATTCCGGGCGGGTTGACCGAAAGGTGGCCGCTGGGTTGTATTCCATCTGAAGGGACGGCACTCGAGATGCTGCCAGGAATGCTGATCCGCCTTTTCGGTGCGGTTGCGCCGCGACTGCGGGAGCGCCAGGGGCGGTCGGGGCGTGTGGCGAGGCGCAGGGCGTTGCCGCGCGGCCACAGGGGCCCATTGTTGTGTTGGTTGCCGAGTGTGGGGCAGGCACTCCCGCTCCACTGAATTCCGTCAGGGACGAGTAGCGACTAAGCGCTGTGCGTGGGTACCAGCAGCAGCTTTCATTGTTACAGAACAAGGCAATGATGTACCCGTCAGCTTCCTATTTTGCCCGAGCAAAGCAGCGCCTATGATCAGTTCATTGAAATCTAATGTTAAACACACACAAAGTCTGTGAATCTACCATCACCTGATGCCAAGAAGCGAATGTCGATGATGGTACATCAAAAGAAGTGTCCTCGGCAGTTGGCGAGCGGGAACCGAAGCAACAAGTGCTTTTGCATTGAGCTGTCGAAAAAGCTGTACCGACTCGACGCGCATTGCTGACGAGAACTGACATTCAATCTCGATTTGAATGGTGGGCTTGACGTCGAGAACGTGCCAACGGATGCGAGATCGCCACCAGGCTTGGTTTTCGCATTTACGCTTACGTTTTTACTTCTAAGTTTTTACGCATGAAACGCAAAAATGCAAAAGGGCCTATTTTTACAGCTATTTTTACGTTTTTACGGTACCCTGGGACACCCACGCTACACGACGAAAGTTGCGTACACTGATCAGTCCTGCGCCATCTCCAGCAACTGCAACATTATGTCCACCTCGCCCTTGGCAAGGGCGATGATGGCATTTAAAAAAACTCGCTTTCTGCCCCTTCCAGGAAGTCTAGCTGCCACTCTCCGGACTCCGTAATTCTGTATAACTGTTCTTATGTACACCGGGCAGTTTTTACCTTGCATTTACGTATTTTCACGCATTTTTGCGCATAAAAACGTCAAGAATATTTTTACGCGTAAAAACGTAAATACGATCAGTTTTTACAGCGTAAAAAACAAGCCTGATCGTCACCGCCCAATGTTCCGTGGCACCCTCACGATGAGGGCGTTAGTTGTCAATGCATTGGCTCGAACTGAAACACGAGAATTGTCATGTACCTATGGCAGCTGGCACCCTTGCAGGCAATTCTGTCATTTGGCTCAGTGCGAAGCGAAGTCGAGAGCCACGCATTAGCCAGAGCACCGTACTGACTTGCTGGTGGTGATTTTCCAGCTTGGCCTCCAGAAGTCGATGGTCAGGACACCCCCTGGGGAAAAAGACCCGGAGAATCTGAGTCCAGAAGTCATAGAGTCGATATGCACATTTCAGCCCTTAGAAGAGGACTTTGTGAAGAAAGGGCCGGAAGGGAGCTACACGTGGACGTACATTGGCACCACGACAGGCGTACACAGGTAAGCCATGCCATCCCTGCTTCGCACATCTCGCACATGAGTCAGGAAACTAATGTTGGCAATTGCTTGCCTTCAATTGGGGACGGCCAGACCTTCAAAGACCACTAGTAAAAAACAGGCCAGATGACACAGTCCTGACACAGTTTGTTCAAAATCCAACTGTGTGCTTTCGGCAAATGTGGTCCCAAAAGTACACAGTTGGATTTTGAGCAGACCGTGTCAGGACCGTGTCATCTGGCCTGTTTTTTCCTAGTGGACTGATCAATATGATGATGTGACGTGTTTGTGACAGATTTGCAGATCCTGTGCCGTTGCTCGGGTCTTGGTTTTCCGCCTGCGGTCTGTTCTCTTTCCAATTCTACATCGATGTCGATAGGCTCGTTTTGCTGGTCGCCAGCTCTGGAGAAAAATGGCGCATTTCATTTGCGACGCGAATTACATCGTAGAGCGTTAAACTATTGGGCGGTTTCCCACTCGCATGCAGTGGTTTTGGCTCTGCGTTGTTTGCAAACACTATCCATTATATTTTTGCTGAAAAACTGCAACTTGGGCGGGAACACCCAGCGTCCTACTTCGCGGGTGGGGAGGAATGTTCTGGCAATCGTCTTGCCCACGCCGTTGGACTCAAGCAAAAGGGGGCCCCCACTGAGTAGGCACCCAGGTTATAGTAGTAAGGTGCAATGGCTTTGCTGGAGTTGCCGGGGATGAAACATGGGCGGTGCGCACAGATACTATCTGGAATCGCACGTAATTGTTCTGCAAGTGTATCGCATAATCAGGCCACTCGGGGAATGGGGAACGAAGGGGCGGGGAATCGCCACATGGGGAAAAGGATCAAGCGCTCAGCGTCTTTTCCTTGCTCGCCCTCGGAGTATGGTGGTGATGGGCATGCACAAGCATGCCAGCAGACGAATATCTCCGAGCTATGGCAAAGCCACTGGTATGCGCCACACTGCGCTCCTTGTCAAGGAGAACAACTTACATAGGCACCAATACTATGCTTCTGTCTTCTGCTGGCACCTGCAATTCCATGTCGTGAAAGTGCTGGCTTATGGCCGCGATCGAACCCCACATTAAAAGTATGTTCCCTGACATTCTCTGTTCGGGAACTACTGCAATGGTACGCCCATCCAGTCTTGACGGCCACAAGTCCCAGCATTCTGTCTCACCGATCTATTGATGCTGGAACCACCATAGGCCTTGAACAATCCAGTGGTTTCAGAGCGTATCAAAGGCCGTTGCAGGGCATTAAAGAAGCGATTTACAGACGTCTTTTAGATGCAGCATGATATCGCTGTGGCAGTGTAGGTAGGCTTGTTTTCTACGCCCTAAACACGGATCGTATTTACGTTCTTGCTCTTAAAAACAGTTTAATGTTTTTACGCGTAAAAACGCATGAAAATACGTAAATACTACGCAAATACGTCCCCTTGTACATAATGACAGTACATAGAGCTTTCGGGTGTCCGGGGGAGTAGCAGCCAGACGCGCTGTAATGGGCAGAAAACGAACATCTGTTCCACGTCGTCGTGGCTCTTACCGAGTGCGAAGCCGACGCTCTGTTGCGGGTGCTCGAGGAGGTGGAGGGCTAGTGATTGTGCACGATTTTTACAGTGTTAACTCGGTGTCACAGCAAACCGCAAAAACATAAATACAACCGCAAAATAGCCCCTTTTACAAATTTACGTTTTTGTGCGTAAAAACGTGAAGGTTTAAACGTAAACGTCCACATAAATAACAAGCCTGAGTGTGGGCGACAACAAACATTGCCTCGTTTGGGCCAGCGGTCGACAAGCAGTGACATTTCTTGGCACTTTGCATTTCAAGAACCACTGCATCGTGGCTTTTCTCAAAATCGCAAGGTCTATTTGTCCGTATTTGTTGGCCCCTGTTCGGACTGGTTGAACAACCTTTCCGTAGACACATCACATAGTCAAGAAGTATTATCCACGGAATCTTTCTGATGACGCCATTGCTCTGCAGAATATGGCCAGGGCTGGCGCTTCCGAGGGACTTATCCGAAGCTGATCCCCCTAAGCCTCTTGAGAGCTGCAAAAAGTTTGACCCCGTGAGTGACGGATACCCATCATACAGTTGTATGTTTGCTGAGTATACTCATACGTATGACTCTCCTTGATTAGTGTACTTTCCTTATAGTGAGGCAAAGAAGAATTGTGTCGGCAGTTGTGGCTGGGATGGTTCGAGCAGCTATTATTGTATTTTGAGTTTCGTGCTTCGAATTATCATGGCTGCCGCAAAATAAGTGACCAAAATGCAGATGCCCAAGATATGGACAATTTTCTGACGTGTTTCAGGAGGGCGGGAATCTGGCCTGGCTTTGGGTGGAAAGGATAATATGCTGCCCCTTCCTTCGTATTTGTGCTCACATGCGGTTGTTAAAGAAACGCCTTTGTTGCATGCATCGTATGGCTGATATGGTGCTTTCAGGGAACCGAAACTGTCATTGAGCATATAGTATTTGCTCCACATCCTTTGTGTGCAAAAATTCATGGCACTCAATATATTGTCCTCAGTATCCTTCCAATTCATTCGTTCCGATCGCAATGTATGCGATTGTTCAGAGGGAGCGTCCATGGTTCAACGCAGCCAGCAGCGGTCCCAAGGACGTCGTGATCGTTTTGGACACATCAGGTGAGAACACATATGTTGGCAGGCATGCTGTTTACGCACCGCTCTTATCTTTTCTGTTTCCTCTGATCAAGTCTAATTACCATCTATGTGAAATGCAAAATTCGTTGCAAGGGCCGTATCAAAATTACAGAGCAAGCTCAAAATCGGAAAATTTGGGCTCCAAAACTCTTAAATACTATTTCTGTTCCAAAACTGCCGTCCGTTATCCAAATCGCGCAAATGAAGGTCTGAACATGCGATTAAAAATTTTGACAAAAACAACTTCAAATGTGCCAGTTTGGTAGCTATCTGCTGAGTTCTTAAGCCTGGGAAACGTTGATTCCATTCTTGATATGTGCTAAAAGCAGCACAGACGCCACTTTTCCTTTCGTCGGGAACTAGGGCGGGGTATGGGGAGCTAGCCTTGCCCTTTGAAGGAGGTGGGTCGACCTGAGTCGCCTATGGGAAAGTTTGGTGGACAACGAAGACTCGGCTAAATTCAAAACTGAATCCATGATCAGAAGATGCAGGTTTGTCGCAGATTTTGGATGTCGACAGTGATTGTGCATGTGTTGTGGCGGAAAAGTGACCCAACCGGTGCAAAAAGGTTATGACCTAATTAGGAAGGCCGTGCACACCGACGCTAACACGGGAACGGCCTAGGTTGATGACAACATGGCGAATCGTTGAAATTGACAATTTTCACGCATGAGTCAACATAGGGAAGAGATGGTTCAAGGATATTGTGAATGCGATGACGCCAAATTCTGGAAATCTTGTAGCATTGCCTATTTAATAAAAAAATTGGAATAATTTCGGGCAAATAGGCTGACATGCATGGGGGTAAGGCGAGCAAGAAACTATGGTAATTGAGGCTCTGAAGAGGATGTACAGGGGCGCTTTCAATAAGGCTGTGCAGGTCTTGCTGCATGACGACAACTCATGTAAACAAGATCTCCATTACCCCGAAATTGATGAAGGAATCCGAATCTGGCGACAGACTTACTAATTGAGCTGATCTTGCAAAGCTATGGAAATGTTGGATAACGGACAAGACTTATGGAACGGAGGTAGTATCAATTTTTAAGAAGAAAAATCGAGACATGAAGCGTTTGATCCCATAGGTGAACTGTAAATTTTAGTCATTTTTGACCCCAAATATCGAGGTTTGTGAGGCAAAAACACCCCTGATACAAAAGCACTGCCAATTCCTTAACACTTAATGGATTGACTTGAAATTTTAATAATTTGCTCCAAACTTACAAACATTTTGGGTGAAGTACATTGAAACTTGGGCCAGTACGATAGAGAAGCAATGACCCAAAGTCAGAGACAACAGCTAACCTTGTAGGGATGAAGTACATTCCTTTAAAAATGTGGAGATTTCCGTTGGTGATCCCAGGTGTGCGTTCACTAATCAGTGTGAATGGTGTATTCAAATGCTTTAGGCATTACAGCCCAGAAGTTAGTCGCTCTGCTGATTTAACTTCAATAGCAGTGGCAAAGAGATGTTCTGGAAAAAACTGAAGAGCAATGAAATCTCTCAGGAAAGTCAGTGTTTTGATGTTTTGTGCCAGTGCAATGGTAAGCAGACAACAAGCTCAAAATGAATATTTCCCTTCCATTGAGACCACCCTGAACTGGGATGTCCTACCTGCACTTAAAGTCAAAGCACAGAATTAAACGACAACACTGCCAGAGCTACGGGCTTGATTGAATGGACTTTTGCACTGCACCGCAAACGGTCACACGCAATTTGAAAGTCGCCCCAAGGCCTTGTTCAGTGCACTACAGTCTGGTGCCGCCAAAAGTGCCCACTCCTTTGTGCTCGACTGCGTCGCAGCACCTTCGATCAGCACACACATTGCAGACACCAGCTCCGTCTGTATACTGTATACCGAAAAAGTTCGCGGGAGAAAAATTTTCAATATACAGTGGTTAAAAGAGGAACCAATGCTGACATCAGCCATGCGTGATCACAAACGCTCTGTCTTGTTCATGGGCTTCGCACAGATATCCGCATCAACTTGTGTCCCCACTCGCATGCAGATTTCCTTGGCACACCTTCCCCATCACAATATTAGCCGATCATCAGGCAACCTATGATCGTCAGGGTGTACGAAATCAATATAATGAGTCCCCACAGATATTTCAGCAGCGCAATATGAACTACTGAGCAGCTCAATTAAAAATTCTCACAATGTTCATATTCTCATTTGTTGCGGGGTCTAAGGTGAGCATTTGCAATGGGGAATGCTTTTTGAGATAAATTTGCCTTTATGCAGAGACGCTTGGCTCTATCATGGAGTCACACCATGCTGTATGTAAGAATAATTCCCTCTCTGCATTTTTTTTTGCGAAACGCCTCAGTGTGCATGTTTCATTTAAGGCTTGCACTCATGATGATGGCCATGATGTAGCCATCTAATTACAAATGCCCTACTGCAACAACTTCCCGAATTCTACAAATTATCTGCATGTGAGGTACTTGGCATAATTCAAATGTCTTGGCGAGCACAATGACTGATGAGATGTTATGTTGATGTGTTGATGGCTTCCAGAGAGCATGGGCAAGGCTCTTGGGTCCACAGGAAAGACGAGGTGGGAAGTGACAAGGGACGCCGTCTCGAGACTCTTGGGCACTTTTGGCATATCAGATTTTGTGAGCATCGTTACCTTCAATTCCGAGTCGGAAGTTCTCGGAGGCGGAGCGACCCTGATCCGGGCAACCAATGCCAACATCGATATGCTTCAGAGCCAGATTATGGACGTTACTGTGGAAAAAGGGACCGATTTTAGACAAGGATTTCAAAAGGCTTTTGATGTACTGATCGAATCCAACAAGATCAAATTGACAAGGGACGACGGCCCAAGCTCGTCCTGCACAAAGGTATGGCTCGTCATGCGTTTTGTCATATGGCTCTCTTATAAATCGCATTTACCTGCATTTACGCAGCTACCCAATAACGAGAATAAATACGACATTTACCTTACATGTAACTAGCATGCATCCATTTTTGGCCATTAATCAATATTCTTTCAAGGAAATTGGCAAATAATGTGCCACAGTCACTTTCTCCACGATGTGTACCTTTTCTATGGGAGCAATTGGTGCAATTGAGGATACTCTACCGAGCCATTGTATTAACATATTTTCTCCCATATGTACCGTATCATATTAAGCACTTCCACATCTCCAAATCTCAAAGTTATGATTGCTGCTCCTCATTTTTTCTGCGGACCGGTGTTTGGGGGCCTCCGCACAATGGCCGCAGCCAGAACGGTGACTTCCCCCAGATCACATGGCTTCGAAAGATAGGTTTTCCGCCCCAAATACTCAAGCATCGGGGATGGCTAGATGCCACAAGCAGTACAGAGATCCTCGCGTTGCGGTTGGACCTGCTGCACATGTGGTTGGCACCATTGAATTTTGATTATTCCTCTGCACAGAAAGGCCGAATGTTCGGCTAGTACATGCGAGTGTACAATATACTAAGTGTAACATATTTTAAAGTAATATGGTATTAGAAACTGCGGCAGTGGTGGAAACACTGAAATCGCTGCTTAAGAGTCAACTGCCACTGGTTGAGAGCATTGCTTAGCCACTACCAACTTCAAGATTTGCAAGAAATTGCATGCCTCCAAGATGTTGTCCATGTCTAAGTCATGGGTTCTCATTGTTTCGCTTGCTATCAAAGATGCCAGTCGCAGATACACGTGGCCTCTCATGTCAAGCACATGTCGCTTTTTCAGATTGGCGACAGTCAAGTTTACAAATGTCTTTCCTCTAGTATCAATCAGCAGCTAATTGCAATTTTGTCCCCTTCCCCTTCTCCTCAATGACACTCAGTGTCCCATGAGTTTTGCGCCCGATCGTGTATCTCTACTTCTTCTCCAACATCACTCAGCATGCTAGTGGAGCAGGGCATTTTTCGCACGCATTGTGGATACTAAATTGGGTGTGAGAGAAACCAATTTGGTGTCCTCGTGGGACACTGCCCACTGCACATTTTACTTCGTCCGTGGCATTGAAGCGCACAGTGTTTGTGGCATCGCGGACAGTGACATGGGCTAAGGCCGCTGACCCAGCCACGCCAGGCACTGGGTGTCCCTCGCCATGCGTTCCCGGATCTCAGTTCGCAGGTCGCTGCCATTAGAACATGTACCGGCAGGGTGTGTGACCTACATTTGATGGGCTAAGGGCAGCATCCATCCGTTTAGGAGCAAGGTTCACTTCAAAAATTATATTCTTCAAGAGAGATAATTTGATTATACGTGGTCAGCCGCCACATGCCCTGTCATTTGTAGAATAATTGAAGTGAAGAGTCATGGTGATCTGAAGAATCGCTCAACGATCCAAAAATCAACAGTCTAGATGGAAGTTTCAGAGCTTACGATAGTTTGCATCATTTATCTCGCACAGGTGATTTTGTTCCTCACAGACGGTGAGGACTGCTCACTCCTCGAAGATCAAAAGTGCGCTGATTCTGAAGAAACGGAAGAGGATGTTGACCCAAACGTGGTTGCCGATTTCATACGAAGAAAGCAATCGGATCTGGTCGATCTGGGCGGCGAAAGTGCTCACATATTTACGTTTTCGATGACGTCAAAGGCGGATGATAAGCTGGCAAGAATGATTTCCTGCGAGAACAAGGGCTCTTGGGCGTCCATTGAAGGTAATGCAGCGATTCTGTTCCTGCACTGCAAAATCATGCATTCCCTCATACATAAAATCCAACCCTTTGTTAATCACAGTCTTTGACAATGCTGAAATGCACGGGCACCCTGGCAAAAAGAACAGCCTTTTTGCGACTGTATTAGATTGCACAAAGTTATGTGTTTACTGTGATGAAATGCGATCAATACACTCAATCTTGTCCACGCCCTTGACGACGCTTGTCGCTACCGTAGTATATTGCGTGCTTCTGCATCCAAAATTTCAGCGCCACGACTTTGTGTGACAGTGGTTTTCAGAGCATTATCGGTCTTTCCCGACATGAAGCGTGGCCAAATAACAGGTGCAGCTGACCACTTTACAACGTTCTATGTGTGTGCTTCATGCGATCCAAGCCGGGGTGCACAAGCGCTTAGCTGCTTCGCTTTGCTGTCCACTTGAACTAACGAGAAAACCTAGCGTGTCGTGTATCCGGGGCGGCATACGCTGCGATTAATCAAGAGAACCTCGCGCGACTGCTGGGCCCGGCTTATCAGCGGCAGCAGTGATTTTCAGGCGGCTTCAGAGCTCAGTGCGGGCGCATAGTGACACTGAGGTTTACCGCGCACCCAGCTCCTCTTGAAGCCATCCTGGGCATATGTAGGCGTTAATTTATCAGCTGCCCCGCAGTTTTTTCGCTCCACTGCATTCTTTATTGATCCCCACCCACTGGTAGAAACCGGCGTGTTTGCGATGCCAACTGCGAATCCATTTTGACACAAAATGATGCCATCACGGTGATTGCGATGGCATAAAAATTGTCTGTGATGGCATCAATTTGTGTCAAAATGGCATCGCAAGCCTGCTCTTTTCTACTAGTGACCCCCACCACCAGGCAAAGCTTTACGTTACACAATGCGGAAGGATATCGTACACTACAGTAGTGACTAGCCTTCGAGGTGATGCACCCCACGCTCTGCATGTGTGATTTCTTTCCACACTTTGTAGTGCTAAAGAGAGCTGAAAATGGCTGAAATCTTTCTGGCCAGAGCAAGACGACCCCTTGCTCAAGTTCTTGGATTACATCAGATTCCTGGCCTGGACGCGTCGGCGACTTGACGTGATATGGAGCAATTTCTACGAGGACTTCTCCGGCCTGGGCATGATGACAACCGCGGTCATGCCGGTGTACGCGCCCAACACGTCAGCAGGCGTCCCTGGACTTCTCGTTGGGGCGGTTGGAAAAGACGTGTTGGTGTCAGAGCTGCAGGGTGACGACGTGAACTTCCAGAAAGTTTTCGACAGGCTCATTGAACGGTCGTCCACTTGCAGGATGGTGGACGAAAACGCTTGTCAACTTCAGGTATTATTTACAAATTCGCTCTGGCATACGGCACAGGTTTGCAAATCAGAAGCTCATCATGCCGCTGCATTAGTGTACATTTGCGAGCCCAATTTGCTCCGCACGCCTTGTTCTTAATCTGCTTGCCTCACATAAATATCTTTTAGCATTTCAGGTCGATTGTTAAATACTGTCCCAGGCTACATCGATGAAGATATTTGCAGGAAAGAAGATGCCGATGCCGTGAATATGAGGGAATGCAGATATTTACATGTGCCGGCAAATCCATTTCTATAATAACAAAGGGCTGCGGAATGCATATTGCCGTTGATATTTTACCATGACAGTGTGC